CCTGACCTTTTCCATCCCTTTATGAATCTGATCCATATTCCATTACCTTTGGAGAAGCTGTTCTTCCTTGGCAGGTAGGGGGTGCCAGTGAGTGAGCTGCCTGGATTACACCAGCATTTTCGCCCGTCTTCCCTGTCATCCTCTAAAGAAAAATGAGAGTAGGGGAAGATTTTCTGGCAGTGGCATGGGGAAGATTATTTGGGGCAAGGACTTTCTGAGCTCTTTCCAGACACTAAAAATTAGGCTGCTGAGTCCAGGCACCTCTGGCCAAGCACGTCCTTACTGTTTCAAGGGTACAGCTCGGGAAAGGGAGGCGGCCCGCAGAGCAGCAGCTCTCTGGCCAGCCCCTAGGCTGGCTGCATGGAGAGGGGGTCGGGCTGGTAACAGTGTGATGGAACTCCTCCTCCGATCCCCGCCCAGGATGTGGGTGAGTGAGAACATGTGTGCGGGGAGCGGCATGCTGATGCCCTCTGTCAGGAGTGCAGCTGGTGATCCGTGAGCTAGCACCCAGCCAGGGCTGCCTCTGCACAGTGGTGATGCCAGCAGTTGGACCTGAGGACCTCTCTCCACCCACAGTCAGGACCCCGTGCTCTCCAGGATTTCCTGTCAATGGTCTGCTCACTGTAGTGATGAGATGTGACCTGCTGCATAAAATGGGGCTTTATACCCCACAGAGCGATAATACTATTGTTTCAGATTTGAATGGTGAACTAGACTATTTCCAGTTGCTCCATAGTCAGCACCACCTGCTCTGTGCTTTTTCCCTTTGTGTAGTTGTCTCTTCACACCCCAGGCTACGGGCACCATGGTCTGTGGGGGTTCTGTCCTGTGTGTCCTGATGTGTTTGCCCCAGGCACCTAGGACAATGCTTTGCATATAGTGAGCGTGTTTTTTTCCCCCCTACTAAATGTTTTTAGCTTAAAGAAAATCAGTAACAGTAGATTTACTTTGATCCAAGCCCACATGTTTGGGATGAGAATGGGGCTGGGGATGAAGAGTTATAATGTGGTATGGGATTTAAGGACCTAGAATGTGGAATCAGTGTTGGAATCTATCTTCACCTACCAGCTGTGTGGTCTTGGGCAGGTTAGTCACCCTCTCTGAGTTTCAGTTTCTTTTTCTGTGAAATAGAGGTAATAATAGTTACCCAGCACTATCGCTGAAAGCATCAAATGGGATCATATGTGTACAAGTTTTCTAGCAAAGTTCCTGGCGGAGTAAGCCCACAATAGATGGATGAGTATTAGAAGCAATTATGAGAACATTAAGAACCAGAGGGGTTAAATGAATTGCCCCAATGAGTAGTATTTGTTCTATTACACTACATTGTGGGTATAAAAAGCCAATAGAAAAGCAGCACAGGCCTGGAGGCTACATATACACAGACAGAAGGTTAATGTAAATCCTTAAGAGATAATCTAATACAAAATTAGGCAAAGGACATGAAGGAGAAATACGGGTAGTCAATAAACACACAAAAAGACGTTCAGCCTCATTTTCAAACAATGCTAATGACAGTAATAATGTAATATTAGGCTAAAGTATTTGCTGAAGGTTAAAAGGGCTGATGCCCAATGTTGAGATGATGTGGGAAAACAGGCACTTTCAGAGTCATTTGGTGGAAAAGTAAGCTTAAAAACATACCATTACATCAATTTATTAGGGTTAATGAGTTGCTTTGTTTTTTTAATAAGTAATATATGCATGCTTTTTTTGTTTGTTTTTTGTTTTGTTGTGTTGGTATAAAATGTTGAAAGAACACAGAGATACCTAGAATTAGACGTGAATGCCCCCCTTCACCACCACATCCTTTTGCCCCAACTCAATCCCGCTTTCCTTTTCAGGTACAACCACTCCTGAATTTGATGTGTCTCCTGATCCTTTTTCTAGGTATATGTACAAATATATGTAGAAATAAGACATGTGGCTTTTTAAATATAAGTGCAATGTTATACACGCATGTTTTACCCTCAAGTTCTTTCCAAGTCTATACATATAGATTCATGCTCTCTTTTTAACCAGTACATGTTAAGATGTACCATATACGTTGTTATGGATACACAATACCTGTTTAATCGTTCCCTTATTTATAAGCATTTAGGTTATTCCTAGAATTTTATACGTACATGTGCAATTCTTTTGGGGGGGGGATAAATTCAAAGTGTAGCCCATGTAAATTGGGGGCAATCCCGCCAGGTTGTCCTAACAAAGGCTCTAGGAACTTATTTTCACCACAGACTTATAAGAAGGCCTTATTATTTTTATAAGCAAATAGGCCTTATTTTTTATAAGCAAAAAAATATTTTTAAGGATAATTTCGTAGTTCGTGTCCAACTTTTACAATTCCACTAAAGCAATTACACGAGTGTACAAATATACAGGCATAAGGATGATCTTTGCAGAGACAGTGAAGAGCTGGAAACCAACAAAACACCCCACAAAAGATAAAAATTCTGGGAGCCTCTGTCCTGTGTGCAGGGTAAGGATGGTTAAATGTGTCAGGAGAGCCCCAGGTTAGGGAAGGGGGTGTTTAAGCCCATGCACCTTACCCTCGCTGCACTCAGCTTCACAGAATCCCAGCGCCTCTGGGTCTCTCCCTGAACACACCCAGCACCCTCTATGCTGAGATAGGGGCAGGGGGCCAACCCATTGTAGATCCCACACCAGCCATCAGGGGCCACAGTTTGGTGACTTGTTGGGTGGGCTCAGGACTGGGCAGATGAAGCCTGGGCAGGGGTTCAAACCAGCTCTGGGACCTGTGGATTCGCAGAGCTGCAGAGGACCCTGTGGTGTGTAAACAAACGGAGGGTCAGGCTCACCTGCGGTAGGAGCACCACCTGTCCTATTTCCACGGTCCCTTCCTCGGGATTTGCTGCAGCAACACGGCAGGGGAAGTGGTGAAAGCACTCTGCAAACCCAGGTCCACTGGGAGTAGAGTCCATGCAGCTCGCGGAAGCCTCCCCGCTCTGCCTTACGCGTCCTGCCTCGCGTACAACCATGCACTGCAAATAGTGTTGGGCAGGCACAAGTTTTTTTGTAATTTTAAGAAAGAAGGGAAGTAGGAAAAATGCAGCAGGCACATAAAGAAAGCCCTGACCCTAAGAATAAATAAATGAAGAACACTCTCATTCGTTAGTCTATGAAGTTCTACCTTAAAATATCTGGGGAGAGAGGGTGTTAGGAACTTAAATAATTTGTCTTTATCTCCCATCACATTGCAAGGCCTAGAGGAGGAGCAAACCAGGACTTCCTCAGGTACCTGGGCCTCACCTGCCCCAGAGAATGAAGAGAGCAGTCTCACCGTGCAGTCTGGGCAAGACACCAGGGTGGTAAGGTAGGTGGGTGGTCAGTTTGCCCTGAAGAATACAGACAGCAGCCCTGGATTCTGGGAAGATGGTGACACACATGTTTGTCCTGCCTTCCTTGTCCTCTCTGCACTTTTTTTGGGTAACACCGCTACCTCGAAGGCTATCTGAGCATCATGTTCTCCTGAGATGCACAGGGAAGGGAGTGGATCTGGGCTTCATTCTCTAAACTTCCAGGTGAAGGCAGTTGACCGGAAGCCATGGGGGGTGGGCTTGCCTCTCCTCTAGGTGTGGGGCAAAGTCCAAGCTGGTCAGACCCTGTCTCTCCCTGACAGGGGACAAACTATCTGCTGCCCAGAGGGGCCTTGGTGACCCTGGGGGACCCGGAGGGACCTGCGGGGCTGGACTGACTTGCTCCAGGACCTCACTGCTAGGACAGCAGCCCCTGGTCCTCACCCCCAGGGTGCTCCTTCTGGTCCTCCGGCAGAGGTCCCAGTTTGCCAGGCCATGTTCAGCAAACCTACAGGAAACTGACTGGGAGAACTACAGACCACAGAAGGAAAAGGAAACCGCAAAACCCACTTGCCAGCTGATCCCCTTCTAGTTCATATTTTACGGCACATCTTAAAGGAGTCGGCATGAACCAGAGACTCCTAGAATGTGGTTTAAACACCAGGTGCTTCAAGTGAGGAGCAGTCAAAGAGCTGAAACAGAATCTCGAGGGTAAGAACAGCATCTCGATCTCACTCTGAAAAAGAGGGGGGAAACGTGTAATGTGGATGGAAAACTCCAATGAGAGGAGTTGGGGCCATGAAGGTGCTAACATGAGAGTTTGGGAAAAGCACATCAAGTAGGAAAAGTGAGCAGCCAGAGAAGTCAGGAAGGAAACAGAAAGAAAAGAAAAAGCCTTGGGAAGCAGTGAGAGAGCTTGTCAGGTTCAAGAACTTGGGGAGAAGGCAGAAAGGGGTCTGTGAAGGTCACTTGGGGTCACTTGGCGTTAGCTTTGGGCTCTTGAGTGACAAGTCAGAAACCATCTTGCACTTAGTTCCAAACACTTTGAGAAATGCAAAAAGTCAGAGATTTTGGAGCCCGTGTGTCAGCTGGTCTCAACTCGCTGGTAAGAAATTGAGAAGTGATGTGATGTGCCCCGGGGCCTCATGGCCAGGGAAGGACAGAGGGGTCGTGAACTGGTTTTTGGTTTTGAGTCACTTCCTCCCACCCCCATGTTTCTTGCATTGGAGGTGGATCCTGGTCATTGCTGGGCATGAAGTCCCTGCCCTGCACTGTCCTGAGTCCTGACTCTGAATGAGGCATTGTGTCCTTACTGGGTGCAGGACTCAGTCTAGTGGGGCCCCTGCCTGCTCTTGCTCTCACGTCATCCTCACAATAATCCTTCGATCGTGGATATTGGTATCATCTCCAGTATAGACACAAGGAAAGTGAGATCTAGAGAATTAATGTCTGCCCACGGTCATGGAGCCGCTGGGTTTTCTCCACAGCGAACCCATCACTGTTCAGAGTTTCTAGAGGTGGTTTGCCTTGTTAAGAAAGTTTCCATACAAGGCAGTACAGACTCGAAACCCTGATCAGTCACCACTGCCTGTCCCCTTGGTGACCGAATGCCTCCTTGGCTGTACGCCTGGTTATATATTTGTGATACCACACATTTTATCCATGGCATTTGCCTAATAAAGACTGGTTTTATGTGCAATGAAGATAAAGACAAGGACAGCTGGTTTACCGATGACCGATGGCAACCCCAGGCACTTTCCCTGCTGGGCACATCTTGTCTTCCCTCTGCAGGTGACAGCAGCAGCTCTGGCAGTTACCTTGATCCACTCAGCTCAGAAGCAGCGGGCAGTACCGAGCCCTGGAGGCCAGGCGGGCTCAGGATCTGGCCAACTTCTTTACTCCTCACCTGTGTCTGGTCCAGGCCTCTCCTGGGTCCCAGGGGACTTGGTGGATGCTCAGTCACTGCTGTACCGTTGTCATGACAGCAGCTGGAGGAAAGGTAACATGTGACTCTGAGTATGACCTTAGGCCACCTGCCTTGCCCCTTCAGCTGGCTGAGGGCTCTAGTGGGGCCTAACACTGTTTTATAAGGTAGCCGAATAAACAGCTGAAACCCTGATTAAAGAAGTAAGAGCCCCAAACACAAAACCTTCCAAGATAACAATATAGGACAGGGCTCCTTCACTTACTCTTTTAAAGATTTGTTTGTCACCTACTGTTACTGAACCGAACTTGGGTCCACTTGCCCTTGCACGGTAAAGCCAATCTACTGACACTGGACTGTGATGAAGGAAAGTGCAGCGTTTATTGCGGGGTGCCAAACAAGGAGTCCAGGCAGCTAGTGCTTAAAAAACCCAAACTCTCCAAAGGCTTTCAGGGAAAGGCTTTTAAAGATAGGGTGAGGGAGAGGGTTGAGGGGTGTGTGGTCAGCTCATGGACATTCTTCTGATTGGTTGGTGGTGAGGTAATTGGGAGTCAACATCATCAACCTTCTGGTTCCTACGGGTCTAGGGTCTATGTGCTGGTGGTCAGCATAGAGTTAACTGCTTCCTCCTGGTGAGATTTTCAGTGTCTGCAAAACAGCTCAAAGGACATGGCTCAGAATACTATATATAGCCCTTGAGAAGGAACTAAAGTTCCCTAACTGTTTAATGGCTAAACTATTATTATTTTGTCTTGCTTGACTGTTTTCCTTTGTTTCTGCATTTTCTCACTTCTCTGATTAAATTTATTCTTTGGAACTCGGGGAGGGCCTGGGAGCCTAAAGTTTTACTGCAAACAAGAGGCAGGTGGAGGACATGGGGGGGTCTGTACTGGGAAGGCCCCATAGGGTACTGCTTGGTTACATTACTATGTGCTAAGCATTTTTCTAGATACAGCAGTGAACAAAGCACAAGAGACCTCAGCCTCATGGAACTCAAATCCCTGTCCTTGTGGAGTGACACAGACAACACACAAGTAAGTATGATGACAATGAACCAACACTAGGATGAGAAAGACCTTGTGATGGAAGGTGTTGGGAGGGGTGACCTTAGGCCAGGGGTCTCTGAAAAGAAAACCTCTCAGTGGGGCCCCAAATGGTGAGGGTGAGCCCTCATTGAGGGGACCCCCATTCACGTCAAAATGGGGGAGCCCACAGTTGGGGTGCTGAGTTCAGGGAGGAAATGCCTGGGCTTTCAGACACCGGGACACAGGGCTGCTATCCTGGTGGGTCAGAAGAGGGCAGCTGGGACAGAGAGTGGAGTCCCAGGCAGCTGCTGTTCCTCCTGCCTCCAGCCTGGGAGCCAGGAGGTGGGCCTGGTCTTTGCCCTCACCTTGGGGAAGGATGAACCCCTCTACCTGCTGGGGCCACCACCTTGGGCAGGTGCAAACATTGTTTTCAGACAAGAGCAACAAAGAGTGAGCTACCCCTGACATATTCAGGGAAATCAGCTATTGGATTTTAATCCCAATACCTCCGGAGGTGGAGGCGGGGCACAGAAAGGCTTGGGTGAGCCTGGCCACCTCCTGCCATGCCATGTGTCCGGCTCAGGAGTGGAGCAGAAGGGCGCTGGGAGCTGAATGAGTTGCCCTGAGGTGTGAACTCAAGTTACTCAGCACTGCTCTGTGGGGGTTGAACTCAAATGTTTTGCCAAAACAACTGCAGAAGAATAAACAAAAGGAAGGAAAGTAGGAAGGGATACAACCCTCTTAATAATCCAATTAAAATGAGAACCTAATCTGCCTATTTTCTTTCTTTTTGAATTTTTTTAAATTTATTTTTTATATAGCAGGTTCTTACTAGTTATCCATTTTATACATATTAGTGTATATATGTCAATCCCAATCTCCCATTTCATCCCCCCCCCCCCCCCCCCCGCCACTTTCCCCCCTTTAATCTGCCTACTTTCTAAAGCCATTGCTTTAGAACCAGGCCACGTGCTCAGCACTGCCCTGTGGTTTGGTAAGGAGTGTTCAGCACACGCTGCAGCAAGGCAGCCCAGGGGACATATCTGGAAGAGACTTATAGGAAAAGAGGTGATTAATGGGAAGCATGGTGGTAGGACCTCCCCCACTCCCTTCCAAAACATGTCTTGAGCACCACTTACATGCTGGCACAAGTACCACGGGGACAACGATGAACAGACTGCCCGGGCCCTCATTCTGCCCACAGCACGTGGAGGCACAGGCCTTTAAGGCGACTTGCTAGCAATGGGCGGGGCTGAGACTTGCTTCTAGGCTGTCAGAGTCCAAACCCACTGTGTTGGGAAAAAGACCAAGGTTTGGATGGCCAGCTCTTGGCAGCCTGAAAAGGTGTGTCTGCGGTTTCCTGCTCTTCTCCATCCTATTTAAAGGCCCTTCTTTCTCACCACTCCTCCTCTTCCCAGCAGAGGCCCCACCCAAGGAGGCTTTTCTCCCTGTGTGCCAGGAAAGGGCTCACTTGATTTCTTCCAGGCCCAAAGGGGAAACTGGACCTTCAAAAAAATTATCCGAGCCGCTACATGATCTCCAGGAGCACACTTGAATGGGTGTATGTATGTATCTATTGAGCTACCTTTGGCTCTGAACCTCCTTTTGGCCATTTTTCAATGGGCTGTTGGAACAACTTGCTTCCCAGTGAGAGCACCTGCCCCAGTGATTGACAGACGCCAAGGGAAGGGCCACATCCATCTCAGAGAACATCAGTCAGGTCTGCCCACCTAGCAGTTTCAAGTTGGAAGGAGGCTGGGGACTGGTAACATGGCCATATGGGGAGAAGGTGCAGTCTTTCCAGCTCTGCACACTAGGTGTGCTTGCTTGCCCTACAGACCAGCGCACACCGGGCAGCTGTTATTCCCTCTCCTAAGAAGTGAGATGAGGCACAGCTGAATTCAGAACTAGCTCCAAAGAGCTCCTCTGAGTGACTCTTGCAGAGAAAAGAATAAGCTTGCATGCATTTCCCAGGCTGGAGGGCACATCGCCAGTTGCAATCGCCTGATGCTTCTCACTTGGGGCTTTTAGGGGCTCATGGAGTTACAAAGCAGTTAGTCTTATCTCCCTTTGTGGACTTCCCTCCTCCTTCCCCTGCCCAGAGACGGAGGATTCTTGGACGTGGGGGTGACACTGACCTTTGGCTAGGCTGTGCCTGTGCTGACAGAGATGGAGCCAAGACTCAGCAGCTGTGAGTGGAGAGAGAGCCGAAGCTTCAAGGCAAGGGTCTTATGCAAAGGATCTAACCATCTTTTGTCTGGTGGGACTGTTGACATTTCTGTTTATAACTGATGCATTTGTACAACCGGGACACACTTTAGAGGGGGAAACACCCTTTATCCAAATATCCAGGTACTATAGAATGAACATCTTACTTTTCACAATACCAAACAAGATTTGATTTTCTTTTCATACACATGGGTTTTATTTTGATGGGCTAGTCTGGTAAATCCTATAATAATGTCAGTTTTTCTGATTGACATTGATTACATGATTTATCATGGCTTCTTTTTCTTTTTCCAAATAAAAACAAACTGGAGTGATTTGGAATTAAAATAGATAATCTCTCCCTCGTCTTTTTCTTTTTTTTTTTTGCGGTACGCGGGCCTCTCACTGTTGTGGCCTCTCCCGTTGCGGAGCACAGGCTCCGGACGCGCAGGCTCAGCGGCCATGGCTCACGGGCCCAGCCGCTCTGCAGCATGTGGGATCTTACCGGACCGGGGCACGAACCTGTGTCCCGTGCATTGGCAGGTGGATTCTTAACCACTGTGCCACCAGGGAAGTCCCTATTGGCCATTTTTATTTCTTCATTTGTGAATTATCTCAGTACTTTGCTCATTTATCTATTATCCACAATACGACTAGTTATTTTATTACAAAAGTAACTAAAAAGTAATGAAGACATTGTAAAATAGATTAGAACATTTGAATATTTATAGTGTTTTATAACATGCTGTTTAAATAACTCAATCCAATACATTGAGAATATCTTTCTATGTCAACCAGTGTATATCTAAGCCATCATTTTTTTTTTACTTTTTTTTTTTTTTTCGGTTCGCGGGCCTCTCACTTTTGTGGCCTCTCCCGTTGCGGAGCACAGGCTCCGGACGCGCAGGCTCAGCGGCCATGGCTCACGGGCCCAGCCGCTC